TTTTAAAAACTTTTATATGTAACATGTGTTCAATTTTTGTGTAATATTTTTTTGGTTGATCTACTTATATTAGAAATGATCTATGTTCACTCTACCCTTAAGTAGTCCGCCCAAAGGTTCTACACTATCTGCTGTACCTGTACCCCAACTAGGGGGGTACCTATTTAAACTATCTGGTTCTAACTATCTCCATCAGCCCTCTAACCCAGAGAGTTTCCTCACTAAACTAAGTAGATATTGGTATTACCCTATATTGGCTTTCATACCCTGCCTTAAAACTTACTAACCTATATAGGCCTAATCTATCCTTGAGGTAAACCTAATACAATGGTACATGTCCTACACATGTATTCATGTGCTTGTTTCTATAACTTCTTTCTAATTAGTACATATTGACCTACTGTTCCATATTCGTATTTCACATCACCTTTTGAGGTGCTGCCATTCTACAGACGTTTCTTAAGCACCAACCTTCCTAATTAGGCACCCATTACGTACTTCTTGCCCTTGTTTTGGTTTCTAGCAACCCAGTACCTCGCATTTAGACCGTCTTCTTACCCAGATTCTTTATCAGTCTCTCCTTTACTTCTAGCTAGCAACCCAGAAGGGTCGGTCTGCCCAGGCTTTAGGTGCCTGAAGGATGCCCTCTCCTTGGTCCATACTTTCGGAGCATATGTCTTTTTCCTCTAGTGCGACAACTCGATGGTTCGGCTGGTATGTCCTCTGCTATTAGAACCTGGTTACTTGGTTCTCCGATCTCAGGCCCTGGTTCGAATTCAGCCTTCCTGTGTACCGTCATAGATCACTACTACCTCCAAACTTGGGACTTGCCAAATGGGTTTTCAGTTATATCAGTTTCTTGGATTTATTGCACCAAAGCTCCCATTACTAGATAGTGTGACCGAAGTTACAGATTAGATCTAACCGATAAGCATAGCCATCAACCAAACACAAGGAACACAGGCCTATTTTTCAAATATCGTCGCCAGTGGGATTTAAACTCTAGATCTGCCACTTGAAAAGGGTGATAACTAGACTACTACACTAAGTCACCACACCTCTACTTACAAAATTTGAGCAATTTATACTCATATATATTCATATATATATGTTTTTGCTTAGTATATATAGATTTCAGCTCAGATATTTGAAGTTTTCAAATAGATTTTGATAGTTTAGCATAGGTATTTGCTAGCTGGTATCTCAGTTTTACTTTATTATATTTAATGATACTTACAAATTTAAGCGAATATATATATATATATATAGGTTTTTTCTTGTAATATATAGATTTTTAAAAAATAAATTAAACAACAACTCTTCTTGACGATCACCTGGACCAAAATTTTCTGCTAAAGAAAAACTAGAACTACTTGTTGGAGAGTCGTGGCTAGAACAGTAGTTTGTCTAGAGGTTAACTACTACTCTCGGAAACTCCTTTAAAAAGATGTTTGATATGCAAGCCAGGAGCATTATTATACAAGATAACTGGCAAGTGGTGCCCTTGTATAAAAAATTTTGTTGGAGTATGGGTGGGGAGGCCCAACTCCATCGACGAAGCTGTTAGGCCGTTACTTTAATAAAGAACACAGGGGAAACAACAAGAAACTCTGCTTTTTCAACACACTTATTTGAAAATTTTGACTTGCAACTCTCTTCTTTTATTTCCGCTTTCCTTCAGTTTCCAAAAAATTTTTTTCAAAAAGTGGGATTTGGCTTACCCTCTCCAAAAGATTGACAGTGTTTACATTCCAAATCTAAATAGCCAAGTAGATTACAACCATGCGTTCGATGAATATGGCGCTACTAATTTGAACAGGTTCCAAGTTCTAATAGCAGCAGCAGGTGGCTTGAGATATGGGTTTACGGATAGCAACAGTACCTAGCTCGAGATACAAATTAGGTTAGAACCAAATATTCCGGAGTTGGTTATACAGTCGGAAAGAAACAATAACATTAAGGCGAAGCTTTACAGTAAAGATATATAAATATTGTATTTGTTATATAATTTTTATACTTGTCTAGCACAGGTTATAATAGTGTACTCTCATTTTTCTTTTTTGTATTTGCTTTTGTGCTATTTCTTGATAGAGGTAGTTGCTATTCCTCTCGAGAGATGGCTTTTTCTTGTTCAGCCTGTCAGAGCTTATCTCTTTGTTTTTTCTTTTTTTACATTTTCTGTTTCCTCTATTTTTATTTCTTATTATTTTCCCTTTTTTGTTGTGTGTTTTTTTGTATATAAACTTCTTTTCTTCTTGATATACATTCTAGTATTGAGAATACAGAACATTATTTTCTTTTGCTCTTAGTGAAGAAAGTAAGAATGAAGAGATAAGCTCTTGGCAGGCTGACAAGATCTTCTAACTTACATATAGGTTGGTGCGACATGTTGCTTGTGGGCACACTAAATGCAGCCAGAAGATGTTGGGCTTGCAATTTTTATACTGTAATTATTCATACTGTTTAAGTTTGTTTAATAAAGTATTGTATTTGAGCTTCAGCAAAGCTGTCAAAGAGCTAAATATATATATATATATATATATAGATTTTTGATAATTCAGCTTGGGTATTCACTAGCCGATATCGTATTTTTACTTTATTATACTTAACAAAACTTACAAAATTTCAATCGATTTATTCATTGTATATATATATATACTTGAGTTTTTATAGAATTTTGTTACAAATATTTAAGTTCAGCTTGGATATTGGCTAGCTAGTATTGCTTTATATTTTATTATATCTATCTTTCATAAAATATATATATTATATTTATTCAATTTGCATTACAAATTTCTGCTTATACTAATTATATAGCATATTTACAATTTTTGCTAATACTAATCACATGCAATTACTAAAAAATCAAATTTCCATTTGCTAATTATTGTAATCATCATTTCAGTTCTAATATAATTGAAGTTACTAGTAGGAACATTAAGACAACCTCTTCTTTTGAAGAAATCTTTGGTAGATTCTCTTAAAGAACCTTTTGAAGAACCTTTAGAAGAACCTTTGGAAGAGGTAGAACTTTTGGAAGAGCTTTTAGGATCTTTATTTTTTTGGCAATTACTTTTTGATGTTGGTTTAGATATAAAGTTAGACGCATTAGATGAAGATTTAGAGTTGGACGTAGATTTAGACATAGAGTTAGGCATAGAAGAGTTAGACGTGGAGTTAGACATGGAGTTAGGCATAGAGTTAGGCATAGAGTTAGACATGGAGTTAGATGTAGAGTTAAACGTGCTAGAATTGTTTGTTTCAGGGTTATTGGTTCTGAAATAATAAAAAATTAATAAATATATTACAAACCTTATAAGTATACTTTAAATATATATAGTTGTTCAGTTCTAAGATTACTATAATCGAATTCAGAAACATTGTTAAAGCTAAAAAAAATGCCAAATTAATAAAATTCATAAAACTTTTAAACATTTTTTTTAAATATTTACATTGGCGTGATATTATTATTATTATTATGCCTGGAATTATCATTATCATCAGGCACAATTTCATTATTTGATTTATTGCTGTTAGACACCAAACCATCATTAGATACTAAACCATCTGATTTGAAATCGTTAATTTCATTTAATTCTGAATTATTATTGTTGGGCCATACCAAAGAAATATTTTTTTGGTTTTTATAGTTATAAGATGAAGAAATTGTTCAATGAGGAGCATCAAGTAGCGGTTTTGTATTGTTTTTTCAACTATCTTCTCAATGTCGGTACTTCTGCATTTTATGAATTTGGTTTGTTAAGGCTATGTCTTCAGCCTTATAGAAGAGCTTTTTGCACTATTTAAAAAAAAAAAAAGTAGAATTAGTTCGATATGAGTATTATCAAAAAGAAATAAATTCAAAATGAAATTTTAAAAAAAAGTAGAATTATTCCGATACAAGTATTATCAAAAAAAAATAAATTCAAAATAAAATTTAAAAAAAAGGTAGAATTAATCTGATATGAGTATTATCAAAAAGAAATGAATTCAAAACGAAATATAAAAATTACCCTTTTAGATCTCCATGCCGGAGCATAGATCTTAATTATATGATTATTATCTACCTCCTCATCTTCTTTACTTGGACGTTTATTTTTATTAAGTTCCTTTCTTACAAGTTCAATATCCGTTTCGAATAGTTCATCAGAATGATAAGCCATTGCAACGACTATTTCGGTGAGGTCTTGTTTCCAAGCTTTTTTGCTTATGGAGCTTGGGCAATACTTTTCAATAAAAGGGTCTTTAACCCGAATCATATGTTGCAACTCATCTATTTTTCTTTTTTTTTTCTAAAAAATAAAAATGCAAAAAAGCAAGTAGGCATATATAAAATTATAATTTATACAGTAAAAAAAAATTAAAAAAATAAAATTAAAAAATTTTACATCTTGCATTCGAGAGTTTTTTCCAGTCCTTCTCCTATTTGCTCTCAATTTTTCTTCATCTGCTTTAATTTTTGCAGTTATAGAAACACTCTTACAGTTGCTTTGAAGTACCCGAACAACTTCTTTTTTTTTTTTTTTAAGCGATCCTGCCTTTATTTATGTGAACTGCTATAAAATTTATATACAATATACTATGTACTAAATTTTTACAACTTATTGCTCTAACTCAATAAAGACTCACCAAGTTAAATACCTAGTGTGACCTGCTATAACAACTGTTTACCTCTCTTGGGATCTTTAACTTACTAAGGATTTTGTACCATAACTAATACCTTCCTTGATTATAAGTAGGCTGTCATATGCTTTGTCAGAAATGCCTAATGATTTTGTTGGATCTTAACCAGCAAGGACCATGCTGGCTTCTTTCTCTATGAGACCCAATCTTCAATTATTTTGTCTCTTTTCTTTGATACCTCTATTTTTTCTCTCTTCTTTTTACCATCGCTTCCTCTTGTCCTTTCCTTCTTGTGGTTGGTAGTCCGAGAGTCGGTATTTTCTTTATCCGCTTCGTTGTTTCTCCTCTTAGATTTTCTTTTACCAGCCTTTTCTCTTTTCTTCTCTTTGGTTATACCATTACGCTTTTTCCAATCCGTTACTAGTTCGCATAAAAAGCTCCAGAAGTGCTTGAAAAACTGGTACTGGAAGTGGCTAAGTATAGCTTGGACGAACTTGCTGATCTTTCTTGTTTTGCTTACAATCGTGTTAATATTTCTTGTCTCTGCTCTGTAATTAACCCCCTTCATTAGCTCAATTCTTGCTAAGATTCTTTCTTGTATACCCTTGCCAAAAATCAGGTCTTGTATCTTTTGTATATCTCTGGTTTCTAATTTCTCTTTTTCTTTAGTCACCTTTCTATGAGTAATTCGTTTACTTCTTTTTTTAAGATATACCACATTTTCTGTAGTTCTGAGCAGGCAGCAAAGTGATCTTGTGTCTTGGCTTTTTGCCAGCATATTTTGCATATATCATCCAAGTATAGCTCTGCCTTTCTCATATTTAGGACTTGTATTGTTAGGAGCAAGCCATTTAGGCACTTTATCTTGAAGACCTATTCTTTATTTTGAGCTATGCTTCTACAGTTTCTTTCTCATACTTGCTCTATGTCTTTCCATACTTCACTTTATACAATTGCTTCTGTTTCTTGCTCCACCTCAACTCATTTAATTATACTTTTTAAATTTTTCCACTCCATATCAATAGTGGCTTCTGTTAGTCATATAATAAAGTTTCTTGTTGAGTTATCTACTTTTAGGTTTTTCCATCTTAACTCTGTTATTGCATATTTGTTTTATGGCCATCTTGGGTTGATTATTTCTGTACTAAGAGCTCTTTTTTTTGCAAGCTTGTCTGCTTCCTTATTTTCTTTAACTCCACTATGTGCCTTAACTTTCTTAAAATGGATTTTAAGCTCTTTCAACTTGATCGTTCGCTGTATTTGCTCCAAAAGACAGAGGTTTTTCTCTTTAATATTTCGGATGCTTCTCTCTTTTTTTGGCTCGCTTGTACTGCCTGTATTGCTGCCGTGCTATCAATACATATTTTGATTTTGGTTTTGCATGGAGCTGCTAGAAGGGCTGTCCATATTGCACCAAGTTCTGCTCTTGTTGATGATAGCCAGTTTTTTATTGCCCCATGAAAGTTGGCTAGTACTTGTCTGCCAGTTTTATTTTCTTTTTCTGAGACTACAACCCAGCCAAAACCCATTTTCTTTTTCTCTAGCTCCTTTGTTGGATTAAGTAAAGACCTATCTGTGTAGAAGGAGATTTTCTTTTCACTTTTAAACTTGGTCACTGCTTTTTTAATTTTTTTTGCAATTTATATGCTTTCGATGACCTGATCTATTAACTCATTCTTCATTGGATAAATTGTGATATCTTTAATTTGACATTCCTGAGTATTCTCTTCTCTACTTATAGGTAGGCTTGTTTGCTGAAATGGGCTTATGAAGCAGCTTAGTGGAATGCAAAGTTCTTGTCTCTCATCTTGAGAATAAATTTTTTGAATAAATCTTGGGTTAATTGCCAGTATATTGCTTTTCCAACTTCTATTTGTACAAGTAAAATCTGCTTCACTACTTTTTGCTTCATCAATGTTACATTCTTTACATTTAGTAAGTATGAGCATATTCTTGTAAAGATCGAGAGTTGCCTTTCAATGTTCTGTTATTTCTATTTTTTTTCCTCTTTTTTTAACTATTTTTTCCACTTCTACTGTACTCCCAGATCTAATCAGTATCCATTCCTTTCTTCTTTTGTCATTACTTACTAAAGAGATATTTACTTGGGGTGTTAGACTGTTTGGTGTTCATTTTTTTAGATCAGGTCTGACTCTTCTTTTCCCAAGGTTCTCAAGGACTGTTTCTTCAATTTTTTTAAACCAGTTAGGAGGTTTTCCAGATGCTTTTTCCTGCTTGCACCTTTTGATCTGGTTTTATATAAACAGATTCACCCTTCTTTGTCCAGTAATTGTTCTAATACCAGGATTCTCATTTTTCTTTCTTGTGCGAAACTTTTAATTTCTTTGTCATCTAGGAGGTCTATGATTTCTACGCCTGACTCTATGAGCCTCAGGTTATCTTCCATTTCAATTGATCTTATACTTAGGTTTAACTCTTTGGCTGCGACTAAGATTTTATAGGCTAGATTTTGTTTTAAATGGATCTTTTTAAACCTTTCCGTATCTAGCCCTAATATGTATTGTGTACTTTTGCAATCTATCTGAGCCTGTTGTAATCTAATCCATGTCACCTTGCCTACTTCACTGTTATTGTTTAGTCTTTTTCTCAGCTCGGTTATATGGTGGGCCATTTGATTTTGCCAGACTGTTTTGATCCCTACTATATTTTTATGTGTCATAATCGTATTTGCTGTTGTTGTTGCAAAATCTGACTTATTTTTGATAATCTTTAGCAGTGGGCTTTGGAGTCTGTCATATTGGTTTCTTGGAATTATACAGTGTTGCATTCTGTATTCCAACCTCGGGATTAAAACTCTATTGTTAATATAAACTAACTATGCAAGAGTTGTGCTCTTTTTGTATATTGCTTTGATTACTGTCTGTGTTTCTTTTTTAATAATATCTATTATATAGGATTGGTTAATCTTCCTAGATAGCCAAATGCCGAAGAACCTTGTTACCTCACTTGGTTTCTTTTCGATAGCTCTTTCATTTGGTGTACTCATTTCAATAAACCTTGGCTTCTTCGTTCTTTCTTTGCCTATAACCAGGAGCTCTTATTTTTTACTATTTATTTCAATATCATTTATTTTGTAAAATTCCTGTGCTATAGTAATGATTTCTTTTAGCTTCTTCTTGTTAAATGCAACGAAGATAGTATCATCTGCATATGCTATAACTGGTATATTCATATATTGAGAGCTCATTTTTATTCTACTTAAGTTTTTTGGACATTTGACTTCTAGCTTGTAGCCTCGTTTTTCACTATTTTGTATTTCTGCCAGCAACAAGTCATAAAATATTCCAGTATTCCACACAGATTGAATCAGATGAATATTTTTAAAGATCCGGGTCTGATTCGAAAAATTGAATCAGATCCATGTTCAGATCTGGATTTGACTCTAAAGATCCAGATCTGATATAGTTACACAATTGACAGTATATGATTTGTTGACATTATGTATAATTACTTCGGGTCGCCCACTGAATGATTGTACTTTTGAGAATGTAACATTTCACTAATAAAAATCACCAGGTTTAAATGCTAAAAATAATCAACTAAAAAGGCTGATTGAGACATTAATGTATAAGTTTTGATCTTGAAAAACCTAACTTAAAAATCTTACTTTAATAATAATTAACTTAATATTTACTATACAT